TCAGCACTACCCCCCCGTGCGATGAGAGCGATCAGCACTACCTCCCCGTGCGATGAGAGCGATCAGCACTACCCCCTCCCGTGCGATGAGAGTGAGACGGGGATCAGCACTCCCTCCCCGTGCGATGAGAGCGATCAGCACTACCCCCTCCCGTGCGATGAGAGTGAGACGGGGATCAGCACTCCCTCCCCGTGCGATGAGAGCGATCAGCACTACCCCCTCCCGTGCGATGAGAGTGAGACGGGGATCAGCACTCCCTCCCCGTGCGATGAGAGCGATCAGCACTACCCCCTCCCGTGCGATGAGAGTGAGACGGGGATCAGCACTCCCTCCCCGTGCGATGAGAGCGATCAGCACTACCCCCTCCCGTGCGATGAGAGTGAGACGGGGATCAGCACTCCCTCCCCGTGCGATGAGAGCGATCAGCACTACCCCCTCCCGTGCGATGAGAGTGAGACGGGGATCAGCACTCCCTCCCCGTGCGATGAGAGCGATCAGCACTACCCCCTCCCGTGCGATGAGAGTGAGACGGGGATCAGCACTCCCTCCCCGTGCGATGAGAGCGATCAGCACTACCCCCTCCCGTGCGATGAGAGTGAGACGGGGATCAGCACTCCCTCCCCGTGCGATGAGAGCGATCAGCACTACCCCCTCCCGTGCGATGAGAGTGAGACGGGGATCAGCACTCCCTCCCCGTGCGATGAGAGCGATCAGCACTACCCCCTCCCGTGCGATGAGAGTGAGACGGGGATCAGCACTCCCTCCCCGTGCGATGAGAGCGATCAGCACTACCCCCTCCCGTGCGATGAGAGTGAGACGGGGATCAGCACTCCCTCCCCGTGCGATGAGAGCGATCAGCACTACCCCCTCCCGTGCGATGAGAGTGAGACGGGGATCAGCACTCCCTCCCCGTGCGATGAGAGCGATCAGCACTACCCCCTCCCGTGCGATGAGAGTGAGACGGGGATCAGCACTCCCTCCCCGTGCGATGAGAGCGATCAGCACTACCCCCTCCCGTGCGATGAGAGTGAGACGGGGATCAGCACTCCCTCCCCGTGCGATGAGAGCGATCAGCACTACCCCCTCCCGTGCGATGAGAGTGAGACGGGGATCAGCACTCCCTCCCCGTGCGATGAGAGCGATCAGCACTACCCCCTCCCGTGCGATGAGAGTGAGACGGGGATCAGCACTCCCTCCCCGTGCGATGAGAGCGATCAGCACTACCCCCTCCCGTGCGATGAGAGTGAGACGGGGATCAGCACTCCCTCCCCGTGCGATGAGAGCGATCAGCACTACCCCCTCCCGTGCGATGAGAGTGAGACGGGGATCAGCACTCCCTCCCCGTGCGATGAGAGCGATCAGCACTACCCCCTCCCGTGCGATGAGAGTGAGACGGGGATCAGCACTCCCTCCCCGTGCGATGAGAGCGATCAGCACTACCCCCTCCCGTGCGATGAGAGTGAGACGGGGATCAGCACTCCCTCCCCGTGCGATGAGAGCGATCAGCACTACCCCCTCCCGTGCGATGAGAGTGAGACGGGGATCAGCACTCCCTCCCCGTGCGATGAGAGCGATCAGCACTACCCCCTCCCGTGCGATGAGAGTGAGACGGGGATCAGCACTCCCTCCCCGTGCGATGAGAGCGATCAGCACTACCCCCTCCCGTGCGATGAGAGTGAGACGGGGATCAGCACTCCCTCCCCGTGCGATGAGAGCGATCAGCACTACCCCCTCCCGTGCGATGAGAGTGAGACGGGGATCAGCACTACCTCCCCGTACGATGAGAGCGAGACGGGGATCAGCCTCCCACAGGAGCTAACGCAAGTCCCTGTTGGCCCTTGGCAGTACAGAGCCTGACACACAGGTGAGCAGTTCCGAGTGCGTCCAGCAGAGGGCGGTGCTGCCCCGGGCACAGCCTGGCCGGGTGTGCGGGCGCTGGTGCTGGGCAGAGCCCGGGCGTCCAGACTACCTCCCCGTACGATGAGAGCGAGACGGGGATCAGCCTCCCACAGGAGCTAACGCAAGTCCCTGTTGGCCCTTGGCAGTACAGAGCCTGACACACAGGTGAGCAGTTCCGAGTGCGTCCAGCAGAGGGCGGTGCTGCCCCGGGCACAGCCTGGCCGGGTGTGCGGGCGCTGGTGCTGGGCAGAGCCCGGGCGTCCAGGCTCCGTGTGCTGTTGGCAGTGTGGCTCCGGGGGGCCGATGC